GGTTATAGACAACCAAAAACACGAGGACAATTGGGTCTAGATGACGAAGAAAGTTGAAGACGAATGGAGGAGTAGAAAGAGTCCAATATTAGTAGTTGTGACTTTGTTCTCATTAGTTTTGGTGTTCAAATTTTTTGTTTGATTTCAAAATTTGGATTTTTAATCAATTTGATTGTAACAGCCAAGACCGGATGAAGATAAAATGAATCCTTCCCCCTCAACTCCTCCTAGACGGATCAAATGGACTAAAGCAGATTTCTCTCCGGACGAATGGAGTCGTGGAGTTGATGTTAAGTGGGATGTTGACAATTCTTCTATCCATAAAGAACACGTTGCTCCATATCCAACATCCACTAATCTTTTTCGCAATGTCCAGAAAGCGTTAAGGGTTTCGAACCCAAGGTTATTTATTAGATCGTTTGTAGGATATGGCGACCTCAACACTAGGTTTACTGAGGCACAAATAGAAGTCCTCGAAAAATCTGGTATTAAGTTGGTACAAGTTGACCCTCAAAACAGATTAACCTTTGTTGCAAAAATTACCATCAAGAAAAAGCTCGTGCCGAACAATTTGTTATGATTAACCGATCAATTTTGGGCGGTCCAAATTGTCCACCTGACCTTTTTGAGCAAGATGCAACCCAATTAGCGTTAGCCACAATACTTTCAGATTTTAGGCATTCACGCCCCAATCCAACCAGCCCCAAACCAACATGTCTATAACCCTCAACCTCTACCTGGATTGTGCCCAATCCAACCCGCCCTTAACGCTCAGGCCCTGCCCTTTATCCCTCATGCCCTGCGCCTAATCCAACAGGTCTATAACCCGGTCAAAAACCATGCGGCTCAAAACGCGCAGTCCAATTCAGGTAGAAAAGTCAAAACAAATTTAGGAGATATCCTAATTATTCACGATTTGTTGATTGAAGCATTCGATAATGGATCCACAAATATCGTACTGATCTCGTCAGATGTTGACTTTGCAATTCCGTTGAGTTTCTTAAAGGACAGAAAATTTAATGTCTTACTTGCTAAAAGGCGAGTAACCAAGCCGGAGCTTGACAATTTTGTTAGTGATTATTATTTCTGGAAGGAGATGCAGAGTGGAGTTTGGATGAAGTGACAAATTAGTAAACG